ACCTCGACCGACCCGCGTACAGTGAGGTCTCCAGCCCCCTCACCGCGAAAAGCGAGCCAGCAAACATGGACAACCGTACCCTGGAATGGACAACCTCGCCGTCCGAGCATGAGAATGTCTGGTGGTATCCCCAAGAAGAAGCCGGTTGCAGGCCCTGTGCCACCCCTTCCAGGCCAATCGAGCAACGTCCAGGAATCCATCGCATCAATTGAGGAGAATGAACCCACCTTGGATGGCGCTCTGGATGATGGCGAGGAACGCGGCCGCCTGTTTGTCAAGGTCATCGGGATGAAATACCTCGACCTGCCACTCCCCAAGGGTGAGTATCCATTCGCTTGTCTTCCAACCAAACCCCCTTCCTTCTCCGCGCGACAAACCGATGCTAACTGCAGGACTAGGCGAGCGATCGTACTTTGCTCTTACCCTGGACAATGGCCTTCATTGTGTCACCACTGCTTGGCTGGAACTCGGGAAAACCGCTCCGATCGGACAAGAATTCGAGCTCATTGTACAGAATGACCTCGAATTCCAGCTGACACTTCAAATGAAAGTCGATGATGCTAAATTCAGGGTTCAGGAACCCGCTGCCCCTGCTTCCCCTGCGAGACAGAAGGCATCCACTTTCAGCAGGGTTTTTGCCTCACCACGCAAGCGCAAGGAGATGGAGATGAAACAGCAACTTGCCTCCCAGCAACAAAAGAGCAAGGACGTAAATGCTGGCGTCTGGGAGAGACTGCGGACACTTATTGCTCGTGACGGCAGCTTTGGACGGGCCTACGTTGCGCTCAGCGACCACGAGAAATATGCCTTCGGTCGGCCGTACACTGTGGATGTGGCCTGCTTCAACGAGTGGGCCGTCGACGAGCAACCAAGCAGCGTGAAAAGCAAAAAGAGCACGTCTAGTGCAGCCTCTCAACGACGTCCTCCATACAAGATTGGCAAACTGGAACTGCAACTCTTGTTCGTTCCCAAGCCGAAGGGCGGAAAGGACGAGGACATGCCAAAGAGTATGAATGCATGCATCCGCGAGATGCGTGAGGCGGAGGCTGCTTCATCCCGCACCTGGGAAGGATTCCTCTCTCAGCAAGGAGGTGATTGCCCGGTAAGTTTTCCATGCAGCTAGCTTGGTTTGAGTCTGTACTTATGTGCCGTGTTTTCGACAGTACTGGCGTCGCCGTTTCTTCAAACTTCAAGGCTCGAAGTTGACGGCTTACCATGAAACCACCCGCCAACCCCGTGCCACGATCAACCTGTCGAAGGCTGCTAAGCTGATCGACGACAGGTCATCTCTAATCCAGAAAGAGACGACCACAAAAGGTGGCGGGCGACGCAAGTCTGCGTTCGCCGAGGAGGAAGAAGGCTACATGTTTGTGGAAGAAGGTTTCCGTATCCGCTTTGGAAACGGTGAAGTGATCGACTTTTACGCTGACAGCGCAGCGGACAAGGAGGGATGGATGAAGGTCCTGGCTGAGACTGTCGGCAAGGGCAGCTCTTCTGGAAGTAGTCAAATCAAACCTTGGACTGAGTTGGTCCTCAAGCGCGAACGAAGCATGAAGTCCAGAAGAGAGACAACTGATCGATTCTCCACTCATGGACCTCCTCCACCAGTGAAAAAGGATGTCGCTTCCGCTGCGGGAATGACGGCGCCGGCGCCGGCATCACCACGACCAGGACACAAACACACGCAGTCTCAGCCCGAGATCCGCAGTGCGGACGTTCGGCGCCAGAAGGCACGTTCGCTGATGTTCTAAATGCATATCGACACCAGATTTCTTTCCATTTCTCCCTGCGGCTCTTGGTACGGTTTCCGCTTGACTGTCTCTAGCCATTTGTCCTTTTGTCTATTTTTGAGAAACTTGATTATTGCACATGCCTTCTCCTTTCTCTGTTTGTTTCTTTCTTTTCATTTTTGGCTTGTACTGATCGAAACGTCGGCGTCGGTGTCAAACTTGGCCAATTCTCTTTTGTTCTGAATTCCCTGCTCGTGTCACTTCTACTCTCGGCTTCTGGGGTTTGACATCAAAGCATTCCGTATTGAGGGGTTCTGTCGCGAGCTCTTCCATGTTACATTCTGCCGTAAATTAATGACACATAGCGTCTTTCCTTTCATGCGTTGATACGAATCAATTTCTTGCATCCACTGTTTTTGTCCGTTAGGTTTAAGTTGCTATCACTGGAATAATTCTGGGGTCCAGCTTCGTTTATATGCCGCGTATCACCCGGGTCTATTGGCCAAATAGTAGACTAAACCTGCCAATAGGTAGACTACTTAAACACTGGCATACGTGTAATGCTACGCAAAATCGTGTGACACTTCAATGGTATGGTCCTTGGAGGTCCTTTTTTATATAGAGACTGTCGGACACACTTGAATCCCATCTATATGCTCGGGAATCGAGTATGTCATCTAACAGATTGCTCTGCATTTTACGCAGAAGAATTGATACAGCAGGTTCAACCACCCTCCTCGCCATGTACACCCTCGCCATCTGACTCAGATTCCACAGCGGCGAGGGCCTCTCTTTGAGATTTCGGGTTGCGCTTACTGGCCTCCTTCTGTTCCGACTCTGTCGCATCAGTAGGTGGCGCGGGGAGCTTAGAAGCCGCCATACCGCCCGACGTAATGTAGAGGAATGTCTCCTGGCCGAAGTGATCGATATGGTTGAAGAATACCGAGAACCTGTTCACTTGTCAGCGTCTGACTCGGAGAAGGGGAAGAATGTGGAAAGACTTACGCATTCGCTTGCTCTTCCTCGCGGAAGATCCGATCATAGATCTCCCGCTGCTTGAACTCGTCGATTTCCTTCTGATACTTGCTGAAATCGATGGGCTCCTTGCCCAGCGTGGTGGTTGCCTTCTTGTTGTAGCCGTCGAAGATGGGCCGTTCGAGCAGCAGGCCCAGTCCCGGCGCCTTGGGAATGGCGATCTTCGTGGGTCCGTAAGAGTCCACGATGCGCTGGGGATCGCACCCGGCTCGGACGAGCATTGTCGCCATGGCGACCATCTTGCGGATCTGGTGCATCATGAAGCTTTGACCGTGGACTTTGAGGCTGAGCCACTCGGTGCCGTTGATGATGATGGGGTTGCGGTCGACCTTGAAGGACTTGATGAAGCGCTTGGCGGAGGGGTCGGTGTAGGTCTTCTGGATGGTGTAGTTGTAGAAATTGTTGGTGCCGACGTACTTGTCCAGTGTGGCTTGCAGGCGGTCCAGACGGGCGGCGGGGATCCGGTATGCGCGTTTGGCTTCGGTGTAGGCGGTCTTGACTTTCTTGACGGCTTCGTAGATTCGCCGTCTGCGCGCTTCTTCTTCGGCCGACGCCTCTGTGGTTTGCTCTTGGGTCGTCTGTTCCGAATCTGCAGGGTTGGCTTCGGAGGAAGTTTGCTGCGACTCCTCCTTCTGAGCAGCATCTTCGTCTTCTGGGGCTCTCTCTTCGTCAAAGTACAGAGCCTTTTCCACTAACTTGCGGAGATCTTCAGGAAAGGTATCCAGAATTGGCTTGATACGCTCATTATCGACGTCTTCCCAGTAGGTAGCTACCTCCTCCTGTCGGGCTTTGTAAGCTTCAAGGTCTCCTTCCTTCTCCGCAAGCTCGACAATCTTCCTGCCAAGGTAGGTGCTGGGATGTGGCGGCAGGAAACAATAGCTTGGAATCAGGTACTCGTAGACACGAGAGTCGCACATCTGGTAGCAGCTGAATCCCTTATTCGTGACCTGGATGTCCCAGACTCGGATCTGGGGGCAAAGCTTCTCGTTGATCTTCTTGATGAGGTCTGGATCTTCGACAATCAGTTTCAGCGAAACGACGTTACCCGCTGCATGGACACCCTTGTCTGTGCGCGCACATCGGACTAAGGACGACTTTTTGGGGTCGGCAGCGTTGGCTTTGGAGATGGCGCCTGCCGCAACGAACGCGGTAAACAGATCTCCTTCGATGGTCTTTTCCTTGTCACTCCTGGGTGCAAGTCAATATCGTAGTCCAAAGTCCCATAGGTGTCCAGGAGTCGTACAATTGCATTCCATGATAACCCGTCCCAGCGTATCCGATTAATACAGCAACCTTCTTCTTCGGCCGCCGCTGCTCATTTTCGATGTCTTCCGGCGAGAAATGTGTTGCATAGATAGGCCCTGAAACTTCTTCTCCGTTCTCAAGCTTGCGCCGTTTGGCTTCGTTTTGCTCCTCATTGCGCGCTCTCTTGTCTACCATGTGCCGACTTGCTAGGTTAGTCGATGACAGCTAGGACTGGTTGATCATCTCCGCGCGCGAACATACCTCCATTCTGCCCTTCCCATATTCCTCTTCTTACGCTTTTCACCAGCTTCTCCTGGTCCCTCAGCTCTTCGTTCGTTATTGTCCATGGTGAGTTCCGTCTTTGCCAATGCTGTAAGGACGCTTTGGTTCCGAATTGACGTTGCGCGGTCGTAGAATCGACAAGTCTAGTATTCAGTAACGATGGAGAGACTATCGAGAGGTTCCTGGGGAATGAATTAATCCCAGACAAGCACTGACGCAGGGAAACGTAGGCGCGCATGAAGAGACTTCTGTTGCATCTAGATGGCTTCACGTTAGCGTTTTTTGACCATTTTTGGCTGCGATCTGACGTCGGACATGCGCTACACCAGATCGGGGCTAGTGAAAGATCGATTGGACAGCTCTTCGGCGCCTCAGGCACTAACCGTGGGTGCCTCGGGCATGCTATTTGGTTCCAGCCTTTCAACTCCAACTCGCCTCATCCTTCTCTTCTACCACGCTCCTTTGTCCCTGTTCTGCAGTTCCGTTGAGTTAAGGCTGCGTCCAGGCTGTTGGACCTCTTCTTCCCTCCTTCAAACCCGATCTAGCCTTTTCGGCTGTCTGAACGGAAAAGAATGTCCCTCGTCTTTCGTTAAAGCTCTCTTCGGTGACATCAAGAATCTTTGCGCCGTTCCCCTTCGTGTTTGCTTTGAACCGCGAGGTAATTACAGGTTTATCTTAGTTACGCGATAAATCTCAATCTTCTCTGGGATGGATCTTGCCAATACTCTCATCCGGACCGTGGTCCGGGCTTTCTATGAGACTCGCCAGATTCTCATAGTCGATGCGCTCTTCATCCATTCGGTGTATGTTTATTTCCGAGGGCTTTACAAGTGTCGGAAGCCTGGAGCCTAGGTATACATGGCTGACATTCATCTCACTTTACCTGATGTAGACTCCATGCGGAAGATCTTGCTTTCCTCCTAGGCATGCAGCAGAAGGACCTGCGGAAACTTTGCGCCAAGTTGCGCGAAGATCGTTTGATCGCGGTGTATGGCTCGCTTGCAGTACCAGACTAATTGGACCTGCAACCAAGCTGACATGATTGACTTTTCCCACGTGCAGAAGCACACGAGCCGAGATTCGAGATGGGTCAACCCGACCTGTCAACCGTGAATACTACTACATCCCGTTACACCCGGTCATCGACGCGATCAAGTTCAAGGTCTCGAAATTAACCTCGACAATCAAAGCTCAGTACACGCCAAGCGAGGAAAGGAAGGAATACGTATGCTTGCGTTGCGGCGCAGAATGGACGGAGCTGGATGTTCTGAGCCTGTATTCGGACGAGGGCTTCGAGTGCCAGAACTGCGGGGCCATCCTTGAGCGAACGGAGGACGTCAAAGGAGCCGAGGGCATCGATCGCACGGGACACGAGAAGAACAGCAAGCTCATGGCCCAGCTCGATAACATGCTGAAACTGCTCAAGCAGATCGACTCGGTCGAGATTCCCCCCAACGACTTCGAGACGGCATGGCAGCACAAGGTCGACGTCATCCGCAACCAACAAACACACCCAACCAGAGCCGCCATCGTCGTCCCCTCGAAACAACAAGAAGCCGTTCGGGGCAACCTCAAGACCGACGCCGCCGCGCTGGAAATCTCCCTCACCTCCACCGAGGAGAAGAGCGCCGCCGAGCAAGCGGAAGAAGCCGCGCGCAAGGCCGCCCTCGAGAAGCAAAACGCTCTTCCCGTCTGGCACACCCACTCGACCGTCTCCACCACCGCCGGCAACGTCAACTACATCAAGACGGAGACAGACGCCGCCATCAAATCCGAAATCAAGGAGGAAGAAGACCGCAAACCCAAGATCGAGGACCTGGACGACAAGGTCGCCGCATACTACGCCGAGATGGAACGAGAGAAAGCCCTGCAGGCCCAACGCGACGCCAGCAGTGCCGACGAGGACGATTCAGACGACGAATTCGACGAGGAATTCGAAGACGTCGGCGGTGTCTCCGCTAGCGACACCGCTTCTCCAGCGGTCATGGGCGGGCCTGCCAGTGCACCCACCTCTGCGCCAGTCGGCATCAAGCGCGAGTTCGACACGGATTCCGGAACGAGTGCGCCTCAGACCGCCGTAGGCACGCCAAACACACCCGCCGACGAGGGACCGGTAGCGAAGAAGATCAAAATGGAGCCTGATGTGAAAAAGGAGGAGTCTGATGAGGATGACGAAGAGTTTGAGGATGTCTGAGACGGACAGTTGGCCGTCTCCCACAAGTTCCACGGATTACGAGCGCGGGCGCTTGCGATCAGGTACTTGCAGGAGGGAGACTATGATGAAGCGACTAGGATTTTCATAGCCTACCTATCCCCGAGAACCCACACTGACTCGGTCGTTGACTACTAGTCGGCTAGATTTTATACTTCCGTAAGGAGCAGATTCATCCATTGCGAAGGATCCTTACAATAGCCTGTACAATATTTCCACATGGGAAAAAACAAGAAAAGATTAGTCGCCCAAAACACAGATGTCGATTGAAAGAACATTCCATAGCTCTAGTCCATTCCTCTAAAACTTTTTCTTATAATCGTAGCAACTGGGATCATAGCTTCATTTACTCCACAGCATCAGACCTTCCGCATCAGAAACGGTGTATAGTAGATCGGTACAACAACCAAAGACGCCTGAACGCGCTCGACATGAAACCTCGTCATTGCGATGTCTCAAAGAACAATCGCCCATCATGTAACGCAAGTTCGGGAACCTGTAAGATAAGGGAGAAAAAGGTCACGGAGAAGTGCCAAACTCCAACCATGGTCGCCCGCAACAAAAGCCAAACAGCCAACGCCCGCTTCTGCTCTCGTTTGTTGGGCTGGTAAGGAAGCGCCGACAAATGCAGAGTCTGCAAGTCCGATGTAGAACTTGGTCATAAAAATCGTCACTCGTGTGTGATTCAATCACAGCGTTTCATCAAGTCCGTCGCCAGTCTACTCATCACGGTGAACCTGCCATCCCCATCTCCGAATCGCTCGGCAGCATGGAATTCTCTTCCCATTCATCTGGAGATGGCAAATCAGACACTGTCATCAAGGGTTAGATGTTGATAGGGGATCAAGAAGAAAATACTAGCATACCGGAAGCCAGTTCTTCTGGCACATTCACAGATAGCTCATCGATGGCTGCGCTAACGGCTACAAGTAGATGGTCAGCAAGGATCCAGGGTAAAGGGGCAATGTAGGTACGGAATCGGGGGCAAACGAACCTTGCGCCTGACGGACAACCTCTTGGTCCTCTTCGCTGTCATCAAAATACGTAACCAAACAATGATCTATGACGGCTTTGACACTCTCGATCACCCTTACTTCGACATTGTTGGCAGGCCCGGTCAAGAAAGTCTTTCTTAGCTTCTCGACACTGTTGCGCACTAGCTCCTTTACGATCTCGGCATGATGTGACTGCCAATCAGGGCCCATGTCTTCTGCTTCTACGCTGAAGAGTATCTGGTGTAGAAGCGCCAAAGTGGTGTTCCTGACCGTCCTGTCAGGAAAGATGAGTAGAGTTGGAGCCCAGTCAGGTATTTTGTCCACAATCTGCGCCAGAAACCAATTCTTCTCTAGACCAAGGCGTTCGTTTCGGCTTGTCAGCAAGCTTGTAAAGAATGCGAGATGCTCTCTACCGCCACTATCGTTGATTGACTCAATGCCCTTGGCAACAAAGTCAATGAGTGCAATGATTCTGTTCTCATCAGGGCTTCTTTGGCAAAGAACCAAAGTCGCCTCCAGAAACGGTGCACAGAGCTCAGCGGGTTCAACCCTGAGTCCATCTTCCAGAACCTTGCATAGTGGATCCATTAGACCGGCTTCAGGTTCCGAGTCCAGCAAAAGACCGACGATAGCCATAGAAGCGTGAGGATTATGATTTGTATGAAGAATTTTCTTCAGCAATGATAGCTCGCGATCCCTCCCGAGAGAACGAACGAACACATTTTCTGTAATTGTAAGTGAAAATTTGCCATTCGGTAAGGAGCGCCGCTCATCATCCGAGGTCGGGGCCACGGTGAGGTCAACCTTCGTCAAAAGGAATGCCAAAAGATCCACGAGTCTCCTATGCGAAAATTTCCTGCCCTTTTCGACTAGTCTGCAGTAAGACAAATATTGACGCTTCAACCTCTTTGAGTCTTCTCCATCGAGCCACACAATTTCCAGGCATTTGAGGAGAAACCCGCTGTTCAAGATCATCTCAGTCTCATAGCTTCCCAGGTTGGCAAGAGACAGAAGAAATGTGAAGTAATCGTCCCATGAACGGCTTGTAGTATGGAGAACGGGCCATAGCCCATCCAGAGTGGCAACGACATTCTCAAATCCATCAAGGTATCGCATGTGCCATTTCTCCTTCGCACGGTCATCGAGATGTGTCTCGTCACGGAGCTCTTGAAGCCTTTCGAGAGCGCGCATAATGATCTTGATCGTACTGTCCCGGACAGACGCATGAGGACTTCTCAGTACCAGATTGCGAATACCTGCTGATCGCTCCACCACCCACTCGAGCACTCTGTGAGCTCCTTTTGGCAACTCATTGATCACTCCCACAAGCTCCGAGACGAGGACATCGAGACCCAGAGGCTCCCTGGTTCTCGCGATCAGTTGTTCTAGGGTATCTAATGCGATGAAGACCATGTCCTGATCCAGTTTAGGTCTCTTGTTCGTGATCTCGTTATCATGAAGTCGGGACAGGAGATGTCGGACAAACAAGGCATGATAAGGGTCCATAAGACAGTATGTTCGTATAAAGACCTCATTCTCCATCGCAATGTGGTTTGCTAGCGGAATCGGTAAGGACACATGCACTGGATGGTCGGCCTTGGAAGGCTTGTACAGCAATTTTTCCGACTCCATACTCGAGATGCGTTGGTAGAAGAGCATGTAAGCGTTCCAGACCTTGTTGAATCGCACTTGGTTTACGGTGGCGGGGTGGACCGAGTCGTTATAACCACCAAAACACTGATCTGCAATCTTGGATGGGTCGAACCTGCTTACGTCCGAATCATTGAATTCCACCCAAGAGCCTCTTCCTCCAGCATTGGGCCTCTCCCGAATATATGAGTAGTAGTGCCCTGACTCGGCTGTTCCGCTGTGAACCAGGACCCCGACGAGCTTGAAGACGTCCTCTTGGACATCCGAGTTCTGGTCAGAAAGATATTCGACTTTGAATGGGCTCATATCAATGTGCTCAGGAAAGCGGAATTCATCATTGATTTTGCTCCGCATCATTGTGATCATGTCAAAGTCGAAGCGCTTGAGGTGGAAAATTAGGTTGTCCGGCACTTCCTTCAAGCAGGCCCTATACCGAGAAGTCAGCGTCAGTTGTGCTACTGCGGAATGTCAATTGCAGCCTACCTCTTAACAGCGTCGACATGCCGCCCACACGATGTGCAAGAGTATTTGTTATCTAGCAAGGATAGTCAGAATGACGGCCAACCCACAACCTTTGTCTCTCGAAGTCGCTTACCTCCTTGCATTATCTCTCCTTCGACATAGGCCTGTAGACTCTCCTCGAGACTCGCTCTGCCCTTAATCTCGCATTGGATGGCGGAGAAAGGCTCCAGACGCTCGGAGATGTGAGGGCATTCCTTGGACTTGATTTGCTGGACCAGCTGGCCGCCGTAGAAAGACCGAAACTTCTTTTTGTCCTCGGTGCCAGTGATCTGGGCCTCCCATCTGTCAAACAGCAGGTTATAGAATTCGTCGACGTCCATTTGAATCGTTACATCGATCGGTTCGTTGTCATAAGTTCGAATGTTATCTACCAGCCCTTGAGGGTCAACGTTCCTGAGCCACGTTTCTTGCATGTAAGCAAAGAGCTTCTTCGTTTCAGCGAGTAACCTCTGGGAAGCATCCGGATCTGAAAGGTGGAGTTGCAGCATGAAATCGCGGAACTGAACGTTCATAAACAGTTGTGTTAGAAGAGAGTTCAGATAGCAGGTGTTGGAAAGATTCTTAAGTCCCGCATAGCCTTCGGGAGCACGAATCATCTTGTGCCGATCAAAACACCAGCTGGAGGAGTATGTATAATCTGCCAGGTCACAACAGTTGATCAGTATCACAATAGCCAGGCCGCACGTGCTAGGAACAGGAAATTTGTACCTGCAGGGATGAGCTCTTTGACACAATCGATTACCGTGCAGTAATCGTCAGAGTATTTGCACAGTAGACTGAGGATGCCATAGAGCTCTTGGCGGGTCTGAGCGTGCATGACTGGAATCTGCGGAACGATGAGGTTGTCCGATTCCTCAGATAGGTTGGGGAAAAGGTAATTGTCAATGAGCTTCTCGGCAAGGTCGCTATAAGAGGAGGGTGAGCGAGGGTCGGAAACTGAGCATTTGATTCAATCAACTTACAAGGAGTCTACCCCAGTATTGCTCGAATCAGCTAAATCCAGGCACGACCTCAAAAGACGACAGAATCCCAGAATAAGGTGATCCACTGGCTCCCGTCCAACGAACTTTCCAACAGTTAGTGAAGAGAGCGGATACGCGACGGGACTCTCACTGACCTCTTGTGTCTTATGACCTAGCATGACGCTGCTCCACTGCTTGAGATACTCGCCATATATGAGGTCCTTAGGCGATTGCTCCGCGACTGATTGGAACACCAGGTGAGCGATGTCGAAAAATTCCTGGGATTGTTCAGCATGCTCCAGAGTCTGCGGCATGATCTTCACAAAAGTATCCCAGACAGTCGCCAACATGTCAACCCTGACCGGGTTCTCGGAGGCCATTGTTTCCGAGGAATCCTGCATTTCCCCATCGACCGATTTTGTTGGTTTCCTGGCCAGCTTGGACGGGCTGCAGGCGACCGCGATATGTTCGATTATCTCTCTGCGAATAGGTTGTCGAGTCTCATCCAAGAGGAGGGATACAAGGAGGCGGTCTAACTGTGCCTGTTGCTTGATAACTTCCCAGAATTTGTGATCGCGCAAGGAACCCTCGGTGAGCACGGCAAAGCAGTTGCAAACCAATCTCTGAACTCGGGACTCCAAGACGCAAGTCGAGGGCATTCCCCGTCCGATTTCAATCAATTTCTGCAATCGCTGTACCAGCTGGGCAGAATTTGTGATTGTCAAAGAGTCGGCGGCTACAGGTGGTCTTACTACGCAGCGGTCAGCACCGACGGGTTCAAGGTAGACCATGGCCAAGGCAGCTTACCCATGAGAGCTTGAAGAAGGCATTCAACAAGACTGGCGGCGATCTG